AAAGTTACGCAACAAAATATTAAAATTACGCTTAAGTTCGTTATTTTCGTACAATATAATATCTGTACGCTCAATTTTGTAGCGACGAAATAAGCGTATTTTTACGTTCATTGTTAAATATAGAAAAATAGTTATCTTTATTCAATTTTCTTCTAAAGAATTATCTGTTGAAATATCCAAATAAAGTATATATTGCGTTTTCACTTTTGAAAATGTCTGTTTCTTATTTGTCGACTGTAACGGGAAAATCCTTTGTTACATCGCACAAAGAAGTAAAATTTGAAAAGAATTAGCAGACTCAGAATTGGTGCCAGATGAAAGAACTGTCGTAAAATAAGTTTACAGTTTACAATTGAGCGATTCGAACGATTGAAAAATGAGCAGAATAACGAATGTAACGAGCGTGTTATTGCGAGGGCGTAACTTCGGAGACAAAGTCGGCTCGCTAAACTACGAAGAAACAACTACGAACAAATGGACTAATCCAATGAAACATTCGGACCTCGGAGTTTGCAACATCCTCTATATCCATTTGCGAATTCAATTAGGTCAGTTACCAAGCGAATCGATCATTTTCTCCGCTATCGCGAAACAAGCGAAAACACGCGCGAACATATACATCGCAAGAGCGTAACTTCCGAGTTAAAGTTGCTGGAATAGGCCAAGGATAAACAATCGAGAACAAACACAAAGTCCGACGCAACGTCGGGACCGCGGTGTCTGCAACAGCCTGTACAGCCATCGGGGAATTGAATTCGGTCAGCGAGCAGGCGAACCGACGATTCCTTCCTCTATCGGGAGCCGTATCTCGACCGACATTTCGCTGAAAAACGGTGGCCAATGTTCGATTTCGACGCGACAGAAAATAGGAATGCTCGCACTGTTAACAGTGTATCGGTCACTTGATTGATATCCCCGGCGTTAACGGTCCGCTCTATGCTTTTCCCGTTGCACAACGCGGACGCGTTTTTTTTACACGAAGCCGTATTGCGGTAGCGGCGCAAAGCTCCGCGCAAAAGGATCTTGGAAAATACACACGATGAAATCCATTATCCGTTACCGACTTGCAAACGAACAAGTACATTTTACGTTTGACGTTTCGAAAGCCGCGCTTTCGAGGACTGCCTCTACCCTACTTTGTCGCGGCTCGGTCGCGTTTTTTTTTTTTAGTATTTTCCGAACGAGGAAACGCGCGGCTCGCGAATTTTCGAGCGCGCGTGTGCGCGGCGCCGGTCGCGGAACAGCGTCGAGAATTCGAAAGCCGGCCGAAAAAAATATGCCGAGCCGAAATCTTGATTTCCAGGGAAATCGGAATATACGACGCGGCCCGTCGACGGCGAGAGGTCCGCCGCCGCTGGCCAGAATTTACGGGCGACTTATTGGGAACTGGTTCGCGATCGAGGCGTATTCGAAATTTTCAAGTGGAAAAATCTGCCGTTGCTTTAAAGATACCGTCCAAGAGAAATGCATTCGAACGTCCGCCACAGAATGATACAAGCCGGCTATAGTTAAGAAGCCCCGAGTTTGCTTCGGCCTCGGTATGGCTTCAGTCGATGCATCGATTTGCATGACAATCAATAATAGCTACCACGGCGGAGAGAGAGCGAATACTTTTACTGCGAGATAACGCGTACGTGGGTTACGCGCGCGACGAGAACGAGATTCGCGAATCCCGAGGAACATTCGTCATTCGCCCGGAGCACGATGAGTACGAAAGCTGCAGGGGAACGAACGGCGCGAAATGTTCGCGCGGACGATGAATAAATCAATCGAGCGTCCCGCGTCGGCCTTATTAATCCCTCGTCCGTAATCTATCCACTTAAATTTCAAAGAAACACGCGTTACGGACAGCTCGCGCGATTCATCGGGCCATTTAAAGCGCGACGCGCCCCGGCCCGAAACGATGCGAACGTCGTGGCTAATTTTTAATCCGACGAGACAGAAGTTTCGAAATCTCGTTACGTTCGGATCCCTCGGCTCGTCGAAACTTAGAAAATGTAATTGCGAGCGTGACAAAAGTTCGGGCTTCTCGTCGGAGAAGTCGGGGGGCCGCAGAGACTTCGGCCGACAGGGAAAGAAAATAGTTTAGGCTCTTGGAAGAATAACCGCGGACTGTACAGGTACCGCCACCTCACGATACTTCAGCGATACGTGTACCTGCTCGAAAGTGCGGCACCCCTCGCAAGCGTTATCCACGGCAACCCCGCAGAGTTTTTTACGCGATTCGTGGAACGCTTAACTGGTTCGATTGCCACGGTACGTGGAAGATTGTAAGTTTCTAGTTTGCACGGCCGATATGAAAATGTTCCATTTCGATTTATCTTCTCCAAGAATTAAATTGCTTAACCCTTTGCGCTCGAAACCATATTAACTGTAAATTTAAATTAATCTTCTCTCGACTTATGGTGTTTCCATTTTAATGGCGAAGTGCATTTTATGCGTATGAAATCGAGTTTTGTGACTCATACAACAGTTAGACTCTTAACAATTCTTTATACGTAAGCTTTGTTATTAGAAAAATTATCTTGAAACGTGGTGTAACAATTCTCATGGTGCCTCGGAGTGCAAAGGGTTAATTTACTGTACACTTAATTTACCGTATTTTTGCAGATGTATTTGCAACATTTTCAAATCTCCTATCTTCTACGTCAGCGCGCGGAATGCTTCGCAACGCAACATTGGACTCCGCCTCCTGACTACCGCCGCAGCGTCTCGCCCCCCGCGTTGCCACCATCGTTGCCTCACACCCGATGGAAGCAGGGAGCGAGACGCTGCGGCGGTAGTCAGGGGGCGGAGCTCAATGTTCCGAAGCATTCCGAGCACCGTTCTACATCGTGCAAAAGCATGTCACAAGAAAATGAACGACGTGTAGCAAAAATAGATCCTCTAAACTTCGATACATGTACAGTCCGTTTAATAAAACGAGTCAGTAAATGCCGATTACAGCTATTGTTATTATTAGTTCGCGAGCTTTATGCATTTATGACAAAAATGAGTAGCTGAAATGTAGAACTGCGAAGAGGCTAGGAAGGTCTACGAATACTTTTGTATCACTTCGAACTTATAAAAGTTATTAAACGAGAGCCAAAATTGTGTTGTTTTGCAATCGCTGAAGGCAATTTCTATTTTCCTTAACACGTTCCGTGCCGAGCTTTTTTTACTCGAATCTTCACACTTTGATATTTTACTAAAACTTGATGTATTACGTGCAATTATTAATTCTCGTACACATAACAACGTAACAAAAACTTATCAACGCCCATTCTTGCGGTGGAAATTGATTCTTCGGTTCTAAATTTCTTGTAAACAATTTGTTCAGTTCACTAAGTAAACATGCAAGCGTGTACCATCGATGGTACACGTGGCACGGAACGTGTTAAAGACCTCGTATAACTTTCTGCAAATTTTCTTTATTATGTATCTGTATAGAATAAACTAATGGTAATAATCTGATGGCTCCAAGGGTAGTTACCCTTTCTGCGCGAGCTATCGAGTGGCCTCGAAAGGCTCCCGAGATGTCCCGAGACGATGTAACTAGAATCTTGCTCACTTTGAGAAACGTAACATAATTTTTCAGAAACCCTGTGTATAATCGTTTATTAACACGTTCTGTGCCGAGCTTTTTTTACTCGAATCTTCACACTTTGATATTTTACTAAAACTTGATGTATTACGTGCAATTATTAATTCTCGTACACATAACAACGTAACAAAAACTTATCAACGCCCATTCTTGCGGTGGAAATTGATTCTTCGGTTCTAAATTTCTTGTAAACAATTTGTTCAGTTCACTAAGTAAACATGCAAGCGTGTACCATCGATGGTACACGTGGCACGGAACGTGTTAAAGACCCGCAAATTATTATATTATTGACCCCATGACGTTCCATTTTCTTCACTGTTACAGCGATTGGATGTTTTTCGGTTGTAATCATTTCTTAGAACGAACTACGCTTATTTCGTGACTACATTCACTTGGATGTTTAACCTTTTAGGTACGGCTGAATTCTGCGCGAGGCTATTTCTCGGGACGGCAGAGTCTAATATGTACTGTACAGAGTGTCCGTATATTCGGTCTGTATATTGTTAAGATATAGTTATATTGCTAACAGTTATATTGTTAAGATAAGTCTGTATATTGTAAATCGATGTGAAGACAAAAGAAGTGTGAAACAATGCATACGAAGACGATTATTGGATTCAAACGATGACCGAGTGAGCTATTAGAGTAAGCCACTATAGTGGTGCGTCGTTCAGAGAGATGACATCCGCGGAAGCCACTATAGTGGCGCGTCGTGCCTAAAAGGTTAANAATATCGGGAACGCTGCTATCGGCTATGTCAAGGTTATTTACAAGGTGCCGATTACCTCGGCATCTTCCAAAAACGGAGGTGGGGATTTCAGAGCGGGCCAGCATAGTCGTAGCTTTCCAGTACTGGGGAAGTCTCGGGGCCGTGTGCCCGAAGTACTTGCAACCGTATTGCTCCTGCCATCCATGATTTCATCTTCGTCTATCGCCGAGACTTTCCAATTCGCGCGAGGTCTTGGATACCCCAAGGTTATTTACAAGGTGCCGATTACGTGTACCGAATTACAGTCGCGTGCTAAACCGGAAGAGAGCAGAGGGAAGCGGTCGCCAAGCTGAAAAGGTGGCTTATCCGAAAAACTTAACTCGCCGGTAGACGTTAAACAGCTAAATAAACTTTCAAGTTTTTATCCGGTCGATGGACCGCACCAGATAGGGAGAGACGAGAGAAAGAAAAAGCGAACGAGAGAGAGAGAGAGAGAGAGANAAACTAAGCGGCGCGACAGCGCTCGTCAAGATTGACAAACAATACAAAAAGAAAAAGAAAGAAAAAAAGCAGCTACGCGATGTACGCGCGTCACTAAAGTGTGATCGCGACGCAAGATCTGAACAGCGCGATCGCGCAGCTTGGGACTCGAACGGTTAAACGAGCTGGTTAGAATAGTTAGAATATAATTAAGAATAGAAGACGCACCTTGCGGGAAAGCCGCGAGCCCATGCTCGAGCGGATGGGGATGCGGATGTCCATGTGCTGCAAGAGCGAACGGCGGATGCAGTCCATGATGAGATGGGCCTGGAATCGGGTGCGAGTGCGGATGCGGATGAGTCCCAACCCCCATTGATGGATGGCTGTGAGGGTGGTACTGAGGACTGCCGGACGGGCCGCAAGAGGTACCCGCCGCCTTCAAGTACCCCGCCATGTAACCCGCGAGGCAAGCCAGCTCACCCGCCACCGCTACTTTCGGAATACCCGGCCTTATCGCTCGACTTCCGCTTCCCCCCGGTACAGCCCACTGGCTGTTTTGGCTCGTTTGAGGGTACGCCCTGGCGTTACTCGCGAATAATCTCGACGCCGGTACTCCCGGTATTCTCGGTATTGGCCGTATTCCCGATACCACTGGTAGCGGCGATAGTGCCGGCGGTGTCGGTATTGGTGGTAATGATTGTACTGATTGTACCGGTTGTATCGATTGTATCGATTGTACCGATTGTTCTGATTGTATCGATTGTGCTAGTTGTATTGATTGTACTGGTTGGGCTGACGGTACTCCCGATGTCGACGGTGTCGGTGATAAGGTTGGTACTGCTTGTACTTCCGGCACAGACGCGTTTCCGTTTCGAGCGTAGCCGTAAGCTCCGTACTCCTCCACCTGTAACAATAACCAGAACAATTCATTCGATCACCTGTTCGCTCCACCTCGGACGCTTCTTTCTCGCGGTGAACGTTGCCGAATGTTTCGTTTTCGCGACAACGAGGGCGGCGGCTCCCTCCGATGGAATAGAGTAAATTCTCCCTAATTGACGCTCAGATTTTACACAAAGATGGATAATTTGGGAAGAGGAGGTACGATTATTCGAGCCTTGTGGATCGTTTTTACAGTTACCGATTGTCAGCGACTATAAAAACGTGGCGCAAGGCTCGAATANGAAAAAGACGAAACGAGGAGAGGAGAGAAGGACGAGGCGCGTTGCTAGGTATGTTTACACGAGGGCATTATGGCGGATAATGTTTGTTATAGGCGTCTATGCTCTACAGCCAGGAGAGGCGAGACTATCCGACGTTAAAAGGCCAGCCTGGTCGATCCGCTTACGGCGGATGAGGCTCAAATTGAGTGAGAGATAGTGAACTCTCGTGCAACGAGTTGCACGGCCATCGCACATGTCCCGATCCGCGTACTACGTGTACTTGTGCACACGTATCTTGCAAATCGAGGCGACATCTCGCGATAATTCCTCTGATAGCTCCACGGCCGTTTAAGTAGTGGCTTATCGGGGACAAAAAGCGATACGTTATTTTTGTCGCGGCTATGCGAACGAAATGAAATCGAGTCGGTGGTATGCGAAAATTGCGGCGGAGAGAGCGGGCAGAGGGATACGGTGTTCGTACGGGACCGAGCAGATGGTTTTTACGACTGCCCATTGGTAAAACAATGATTCTCGTTCCATGGGTTCCGAGGGAAAGCGCACGTAGCTCAATAAAATCGTCAAGATGCGCTGCGGTAAGTGTCCGTTACGTGTCCCGGCTACCCATGCACCTCGGCAACCCCGAGTAACAGTTTTCTCTTTACCTGGGCGCACCCGGAAACAGGCGCACGATGCCTCGATCATGCACTCATAACACTTTGCGAAGACCCTTTTCTTCGACGTCCTTTGTTCTTTGCGCGGGCGACGTAAGAGCACGGCACGGCGCGCCGCTGTCATTCGCACCCGGCCCCCATGCTTGCCACTGGCCCGAAAGTACAATTACGCTTTGGGGAAAACCCTCAAACGCTCGACCATTCAGCCATGAATTGCTGTTGACACCCTACCCGGCATTAACATAAACGCGGTAAACATCGAGAAGTGTCGGTGACCGGTCCTCGAAAGTTCGTGTACCTCTTAATGCCTTGACGTACCTGCGCATCCTCACCTCCACCTTCAACCCCGTTAGAATTCTGATTGGGGAAATCGTACCTTCGTCAAACGATTTCCCGTTGTTCGGTAAATGTGGTCGTAAATTTGCCGACCGCACGAGGAACATAAAATCGACTGCCCCGAGGTAATTAGTGCCTGACGTTTTATCAGTTCTTGATACATCATCGTGTCGGCGCACAATGCGTTCGTCGCAAACAATACGAAATAATATAAAGTAGCAGCATATTGTTATTTAATAGAATACAATCATAAAAGGATATATTGTATGTAGCCCGGACTGGACCCGGCTAATTGGATCAGTTTATTGTACAATGTAATGGTTTTTTAATGACTCGATGGGATAGTCCGTGCAATAAAACGGATGCGTCCATTGTCCTCGACTTGAAAGTCCTGCGCCATCGATCGCATTGCAAAACAATTCCAGGCACGAAGCTACGTGTACGTTCTTCGAACGAACTGCGACACTGCGCGACAAGCTAACGACTCTAAACGCATCTCTCTTGGCGTGGATCCAACGGCGCGTCGACGATACACGGCCGAAGCCGATCGAAGCCAATCGTTTCCCCGATTAACCCCTTAACGCACAGTTTTTTTGAAAAAAAACCGGCCAAAAAATATCAATTTACCGCCCCTGATTCAACTTTTCTTTTGGTGGAGAATTTTGATATACTGTGCGCTTTTGTTCCACGGAAGAAGGCTATATTTTATTCTTGAATAAATAAGTGTTATAGCTTACAATCCCATGTAAATGATAAATATCAATAAAACGATTTTTTTTTCTTTGCTTTCACATTGTTATTTTCAATTCTCGATTATATTCGAGTGTGAAAAATTATAGCAGCATTAAGTACAACGCCGCTCGAATTATCTCGAGTGTGCACAGTTCGGCCTGTTCAGCGCGCTCGAATTAACTCGAGCGTACAAGTTAAGGGGTTAATCTCGGCGCAACGTCTGCGTGTACGCGTCTCGATCTCCGAGATCGACTTTTCCGCGGGGTGACACGGGAGAATACGCGTGTATGTGCGTAGCCGCGCGCTATCGGGCGAGAAAATATGATAGCGACCGGGACAGAAGATGCGAGAGCGGACGCGCGGGAGAAGGACGAGCAGCTTGGAGAAGTTTGCGCAAGCCTCGGAGAACGCAGGGGACGAAGAAGGGTTAGGGGGTTTAGGTTAGGTAAAAAAATCTATATAAAGGTGAAAAGAGGAAAACCGGACGGGGTGGCATTGCACGCGGAGTGCAAGGCGAGAGGAACGTCGGAGAAAGAGAGCGAGAGAGAGAGAGAGAGAGAGAGAAAGAGAGAGAGGCGTGTATCGAGTTTGCGCGTTTTATTCCTCCTCCCGTGTACGGGCTTCAGGCTCCGCCCCGATGTTTTCCCTCCTCCAGCTTCCCCATTCGCCCTTCGATCCCTCCTGGACCAGAAAGGACCGCGTATACCTCGCTCAACGTTTCCCCTATTAATATTTTAGCCCCGCGACGACGATCGCGTCATTTCGCGGTACCGCGAGACACTCTCTCTCTCTTCGGTCGTTAATTTCGGCGCGACGCGACGCGTACTCCCGGTGTTCCGTCGAGAAGAAACAAGGAAAAAAAAGAGAAGGGAAAGAACGGAAAAGGGTGCGAAACGCATCCGGTGCCGTTAAAGAAAAAAAAAGCATCGTCAACTTTGTCTCGAGCAATCACACCTTGTCCTGCGGGCGCCATAAACGAGCTTTATATTGCGGTGGTGCCATTGAGGTATTCCTCGCAATCGACTACGCTACCTCGTTCTCAGACTTTTTACAACCGCGATGATTACGGTAGGAGAGCCATAACAGCTTAATGGGCAGCCGGGTTACCCATTCGATGTTTTACCATCGCACCGGTGTCGACGGTTTTTCGAATGTTTGCGGGGTAGCTGCCGCGAATCTTCGCTGGCCGAAACAACGGTGGCCGTTTAACCGGACTGCCACCGAAATTCTAAGACTCCCCTAAACCACCCCCTGAACGACTCCCGGGGCTTTACCCCGCGAGACGATCATCGAGGCCGAGAGCGTTTCTCTAATCCACGGGCGATTCGTTCCTCTCGTTTCCCTTTCGTTCTTTTTGCTTCTTCTTCTTCTTCTTTCTATTTTTTTTCTTTCTCTTTTGTTTTTAGTTTCTTTTTTCTCATTCGACGGAACGCACTCGTTCGCCGTGGATTTAGTTCTCGTGGCCGGTTTGTTGGAACGTTTCGAGCCCCGCGATTCGACGTCCAGGGCGTGGGGAATCAAAATTGATGCGCGATAAACTCGCTGTTAACCAAGGCCCACGATCGCGGGGCCGCGGATTGAGATATTCATTAGCGGCTTTCACGTTATAGTTGTTCACCGAAAATAATTCGTACGCTTCTAAACGGGCGGCGGCCACGGAGCACGCGTGCTCGCGTATTACGCGCTTCGTCCCGACTTCATTACTTTCACTCGAGATTCCAAGCGGTGTCCGCGCAACCGGTTTACAGGAACGACCGCGGATCTCATCGACGTTGGCATCCTGACGACGCGGTTCGATTCCGAATCCGAAAAATATCCGTATATACAGGGTGTACCAGAACGGACGCGCGCAAAAACAATGAAGAAAAAAGCCCGCGGCAGCAACGCGCGTCCCTCCGGCGAACGTTATGTCAAAATTACAGGCCGTTCCCGGTGTCCCGATAATCCGCGACTGCTTACCTTCGTGGAAGGCGCTCGATAAATAATAGCCCGAATAAATAAAAGATCGCCCGTGGACCGGGTCCCGCGTGTCCGCGACGCACCCTGTATATGTGTGTATACGTCGATCCGCCGCTGCATCGAGTTCATTACTTCTGTCAGGAGGAGAAGAATAAAGTATCTAGGTATACCTACTCTCCGCCCAGAACTCCGAACGCGAGAAAATAAAACAACGGGCCCCGGTTCGATGCGGCCGGGGTTATGTTTTTTCAGTGGTCCGGGACGAGGCGAGCGGAACGAAAAAAACGTACGAAAAGAAACGCGGGGACTCTGTTCCCGCTTCTTTTATCATCCCGTAATACCGTGAACCGGCGTTCTTTCGAGGTCTCACTTTTGTCCGCGTAGGCTCGCGGCGGCTACGCGACCACCACCCGTTTCCCCCCTCTCCCACTGTTTCCACCCTCGTCCCATTTTAACACCTCGCCTCGTAGCGGCAAGTGTCTTCGCGATATAAGCGGCAGTAAATAATAAATGATCCGCGGGAATAGACGCGGGTTGGCTTCGGCCCGGTGCGGGTAAATCGCGAGCATGATCGCGTATCGCGTGTATCGCGGCTTCTGCGAGAACGTTCGCGCGTTTTACGACGGCTTGGAAGAAAGAGGGATGGGTAACGATCGGTTGTGGACTCGCGGGAACCCTGCGGAAGAGTAAAAACCACGTGAAAGCCACGGGTGGACGGGCCCCGTTTCTCCCGGCCTTCCCCGATGAATTTATAGAGGAGAAATTAGGAGGTTTATAGAAGCTGTGCGCGGTAGCTAACCGTAGATCATCATTAGAGGCCCAACTGGGCTGCTATGTGCGGATACATGTGTGCCGTGTCGGCCACATATTTACCGGAGTGCCAGGGCACACGGACGGCCCGACGATCCGATCCGATCCGAAGCGATGCTCTGCCAGGCTCGCTGCCGAGCCGAGCCGAGCCGCGCCGAGCCGGTTCGGCCGCCCTTTCTATACCGAGAGACCGATTCTCTTTCTGACCGCGTGTGCCTTTTCTCGATCGAGTCCC